CCCCCACTTTATATTTTCAGATGGCAAGGTCGGCGGGCAGGCGTGAGTCCAGCTGTGGTGGTTGTGGTCGTGAGTTCCGCACAAAAGCTGTTCCCGGGACATTTGTTATCATTTTGTATAACTAATACTTCAACGCATTTCCAGACTTCCGCTATGTTTGTGTTTATTTTCGAACATGCATGACGTTATTTTCAGACTTAAATAATTTTACCCAGTTCGCCAGTACGAACGGGTCCCGACTAATGTGCATGATTCGATAAAATATGAATCTGATTTCTTTAAGTCTAAACCAGTCGTTAGACCTATTTTTAAAGAAAAATGGATTTTTAAGCAGAATAGTTCTTAGCAGCATCCCGAGATAGTTTGCAAATGATTTCGAAAAATTTATAAGCGGTTTCGAAAGAGTTAAAATTTGCGAAAAATTGGCCCTAAGTAGCGGGGTGTTGCACCACATCTATTGTTTGTTTTTTCCCGTCTAATTCTTTGGTGCCCTTCTGAAATTTTCCGTCTGTAACCTGCGTGTGAACACTCCCATTGTCTGTTCTTCACTATGCCATCCTTTGAAGTCTTGCAGCAGCATCGTCGTACATCGAACCCGACATAACTTGCATAACTTGCATAACTTGCAAACGTCTTGGCGCTGATCGGGTGTTTCTTCATCGCTCTCTTTATTAAGATTGACACCAGTATCTTTGTGTTTTTCCATTTAGTTGTGTAACGAGATTCTAGATCGTCTCTCCAACGCGAATTGTATGTTCGTAGGCCACCGTTCGAATTTTAGATGATGAAATATTAGATTAATATATATTTATTTTATTAATAAAGTTGTCGGTTTCCAAAATCAGTCTCTTCAAATCCGGACGTGTGGTAGTGGATGGTAGTTAGAGATTGATCATTGATATCGACAGTAAATCCATTAAATATTGGAAATATAATGTGATTGACGCGACAGTTGTTCACCAAATCTAACGTTATATTTGAATGTGATTCTATAAATTAAAATAATACTAGTATTTGATCATGTGCATTTGCACAGATATAAAACACGTTTTTGTTTGTATTTAGGTTTATTATTTAGACATGTACTTCAATCATATAAAAATTATTACTTTTTCTTAAGTTATTTTTATCATTCAAAATTAATTGTGATTTAAATTTTATTTTAACCATGCAACGTTTACATTCGTAACATGAAGAAAATAATTTATATATTTGTGGCATATATTAAGAAAATTAACATAAATAAAAAAAAAATTATGGCGTTTCTGATTTTTAGAAAAAAAATGTGTTAATCATATTCTTCTTCCCACAATGCAACCAAATATAGCGGTTGCAGCTCTGAACGTGCCAATCAACTTTAAGTTCCAATATTAGCCGTTACACATTTGAATATTTTGCTATCAAATTTAGTAACTGATTCAAAAGATAGATAATATATATATATATATATATATATATATATATTAAGGTGTAACGGTTTTAGCAGCTTAGTGAGTAATTAATTAAGAAAATGTAACTCCTTTTGGAGGGAAATGAAAATAGATTTTATTAAATGTTTTATTAAATGCATCAGCTAGTAATTATATATATAGATTAGATCAATATGTAATACAATGTTATGTACCTATATATATAATTTTTTTAAGTGTTATAAAAAATTTAAATTGTGCAAAATTACATAAAAATGTGTATTTAAAATTAGTACACATCCCGTACGTTGCACAATTATAAAAAATTTAAATAAAATAATAATTCAACTTGCACAATTTTCATACCAAAAAAACAAAACCAACGATATCAAAAAATCTTTACCAATAAAACTCTGGATTTTGCATACCAAAAATATTCATTTCATACCAATAATTGAATTATTAATTCCCTAGTAAGCAACTTTTTTATTTTTTATTTTTGCGTGAAACAGTTACTAATTTTAAAATAATCAAACATGTTTATATAAAATACGGAATCAATATATAATACAATATACCTATATTAATTTTTTTAAAATTTTATATGAACTTTAAATTGTGCAAAATGTCTATTTAAAATTAGTACACGACCCGTACGGTGCAAATAACTTATAATAAGTTACATTATATTCATTTAAAAACAGGTATGATCTTCATTTTGTTTATTCAGAAAATCGATTTGACTACAATGTGATTTAAGTAAAAATTAATTCCCTTTGTACACACACACACCAGATTTTTTTTCATTAATATCGAGTAAAATGCTTATAAATATGGAAAAAAAAAATGGAGATACAATTTATTACCATAAGCGGATATATTGGATCAATATATAATATACCACATAATTCGATTTCATACTTTATTGATAAAATACAAAAAATGATGTTCAGTTCAACCACGAAATTAATTGCACAACGCACAACACATTTATTATAGATAAAAAAAAATACCAAAAAAATAATTATTAAAATTCAATTAAATACAAAGTACCAATGACACAATTATTTTAGAATAGTTTTATAAGAAATTATAGTTAAATAAAAAAATGTAAATTTTTACGGTCAAATTATTTCCTTAATTATCCACAATTTGAGCAATTAAAAACACAAAAAATGAATAACATTTATTAAGTAATATTTAAGTAAAAATTTTCATTAACACAATTTTTGACGAACAGTTTTTTATAAACTGCATAATTAATTATTGTTGTAGATATTTCTTAAATTGTAGTAATTATTTACAGATTGAATAAATTAGTCGATTTTACACAATTTGCGTAATTAATGTATATTAAAAATGTATTTTACAAAATAATTACACGAAAAATAAAAAACACTTATCAAAGAATAAATTATGCAATTTAGTGGTAATTTTTTTACCAAATCACATAATTGATATTGCAGCCGAAATTTTCATATTTGGGTAAATCAACCAATTCACATCATTAGAGTAATTAAGGTATCTTAAAAATGTATTTTTATATGGCTTAATTATTTTCTTAAATAATGACCCGCAATTTTCATATATGATTATTTAAAATATACTATAAATTGCTAAATTAATTTCCCAAAATAGTAATTATAATTGTTTTGGAGGGAAATAGTTACTATAAAAAATAATTAAACATATATATATATATATATATATATATATATATATACATATATATTAATACTAGTACAACACCCGGATGATGAAATCGTCCAGCTGCAAAATTGGATCATTATGGCAAAATTGGATGAGTAAAATAATGGACGAGTTGTTCAAGTTTGTAAAATTGAAAGGTGTTTCTCGGTTAATTACAAAATAATTTATGACCGACTCATCTTCCAAATTGCAATGATGGCTTTGCAATGTGTATTAATGTATGGAGTGGAGGAGTTGGTTTTGTACAGAGATTTATTAGGGTTTGAATATTTTAATGGTATAGGTGTGTGTGTAAAAAAAGTGAATTTTACAAAAAAAAAGTGGTATGAAAATCTTTTGAAAATCTAATTGCTTTTAAAAAAGTCTGATGGATCATGATATTAATTGTAGAAAATTTTGGTTATTTTCGAGATGTAATCAGTATTTCTCAATCATCGTTTAAAAAAAAAATCGTCAACTTGTGAACATTATTATTTCGATTCTAAAACCAATAATAATGATTGGTTTGCCCGTGTTTGGCTGCAAACGAACCGAATGTTTGCGAATAAAGGTTCGCACCAAAACTTAGTCTCGTCTTATAATGGAACCAACACAAGTTCGAACGGACAAATTTCGAGTTAATCAAACATATTTAAATAGCTTATCTCCCAAATTTTTCGAACACGAACGACTACGAACGAGTTCGATCAGAATATTATGCTCGATTTAAAATAATTACATTTTTTATGAAAATATTACTACTATTTTTGTTAATCAGTGTTAAATTTTAAAAAAATAATATGGTTACTTGTTTCTTGGGAATTTAAAATTAATGTCATGTGTAAAAATGATTGGTTGATATATATTTAATAATTTTGATAATATTAAGGATAGCGTCAGCATTATTTATGTCAATGATCCAAGTTTGTACAGGTGTGTTTCACATCAATGTTGACATTACCACAAATGGTAACAGCATCTCCAATGGTACAAGGATTGCTATATTCCATTGCCACTTACAAAGTTTGAAAATTCTAATCAATACATTTCGATCAATTATTGATTTCAGGTAGAAATAAAAAATTGTGTATGTATTTACACTAAATATTATTAGTAAACACCAAATTATTGCTATTGATTTTTTTTTTTTAAATCAAATAAGTCATTCGTTTTTTATATACCAAGGATTCTTCCAAATTGTTGTATTCAGATAATTATGTACAAAGAAATCTTGAAACATATTTGGTATTTTTATTTTATGTAACAAAATTAATTGGAAGAGTCCATATATGAATGGGGATTGTTTCCCAATTTTTTTTTATACTTCTCTCCATTTACGTAAAATGTTAAATTCACCAAAAAATAAACAATCATCAAGTTGTGAAAGGCCAGAATAAGAACTAAAATTAGCATTAACATTTTAATCAAGTTTACCCAATTACAAACCATCTCAAAAAAAGCCATAATTAATAAACGTAAGCCCTAACAAGAAATTGATAATAACCGTCTGCCAAAATGAACAACGCACATTTCGATGAGAAGAAAAAAAACACATAGACTACATAACTAGAAGAACCCCACAACATGATCCACCTCCTACCAAGTCATTGCAAACACCAGATGAAGATTCAGCATCACTCGGAACATCAAAAGTCGCCTGAATAGCATCGTTGAAACAAATTTTANTTTTCCAAAACGATAGGTTTTATAGCTCAAAAAGATATACAGTCCGGGTTAATGAACCCATACAATGTCCAAAAGGATAATGGAGTGACGCCACAAAGCGCAACCTACTAAGAGAAAGCATAAGGATCTACTCCCGGCATTGGCTAGCAAAGTGATCCAGAGAGTATTTCCTTTACGCCTTGCTGCCAAAGCGACAGACTTAAGGAACAAACACACTACAACCACTGCCCTAAATGGCCTAGCTGCAGCACCAAACATGTCTGAACAAGAAGGAGTACCAAACAGGTCTGAACAAAAGGAGAAAAACAAAAGAAAAGAAAAAACCAGCTAACATCTAATCTAAAGGAAAAACATAGAGAGTCACTAAACAGAAAAACAATACTACAACAAAACCCAGAGCACAAGTAGAACAAGCATGCCAGCATAAGCAACCACCATCCCCAGCATTAGGGCAAAGAGGAACAGCAACAGGGCAGTAGGGCAGAGGAACACCAACACAGCTGAGAACTCTTCCAGTGCAAGCTCACCTTCAGGTACTGTTCAGAATTGGGGAAGAAGAGGAGGTGAATTCCTTCCAGCTATTCAGGGCAGATTGCACAATGTAAATTTCAGGCTTTTTGATTCTTTGAAAGGTCCAGAGGTTCCTAGCTTTCCAAATTTCCCAAAGAATGTAAACTGAAAGCTGAAGCCTGCTATTAGATGTAGATGAGTGATTGAGTGAACAGAGTTGAGTCCACCAATTTTTGAAAGATGAAGTGTCCAGATGTTGTCCATTCCAGCACAAGGGAGATAGTTTCCAGATTAGAGAAGATCTAGGGCAGTTCAAAAGAAGGTGCTCAACTGTTTCCACACTTTCACCACAACCTTTACAAGTTGTATCCAGTGCAATTTTCCTTCTCCAAAGGTTCCCAGTAACTGGGAGAGTGATTGAGACACATTTCCAGAGGAAGTGCTTCAATTTCCCTTGGATTTTGAGAGACCAACATCTTTTCCTCATCCCAGAAAGTGTTTTTTGACCTCTACTACTTTCAGGCAGGTCCAGACCAGTCCATTTTCCTTGTATTAAGCTGGAGTAAACAGAAGAAACTGAGAAGGGTTTTCCTCCATCCCAAACAAGCTTATCAACTCCATTGGGATCAAGATCTTTTATTTGAAGGATTGCTGTAATTTCCACAGGAGAAAAGATAGAGTGAAGGGTGTCTGTGTCCCATTTTCTTCCAGTCTCATCGATGAGTTCATTCACCCAGGTTAAGCTGCTCTGAATCTGTCTATTGGGGATTTTGGGAATGGTAGGTATCCATGGTTGCTTCCAAATATTGATATTCCTGCCATGTTTGATATCAAACCTTAACCCACCATGTTGAGTATTCTTCACAATGGAGTCCCTCACCTCAAGCCAGCTATTCCATAGCCATGAGTTGTTCTGCTTCTTAGTGATGGAAAAAAAGCCGTCTCTGTGGAAGTATCTTGCCTTTAGAACTTTACTGACCAAGAGGTTGGGCTTTGTTATCATCCTCCAAATTTGTTTGATAATGAGAGCCTTGTTCATGAGGTGAATGTCTTTAAATCCCAGTCCTCCTTGCTCCTTAGGTAAGGTGATACTGTTCCAAGATTTCCAGTGAATGGACCTTTTTTGCTCTCCATTACTCCACCAGAACTCAGCAACTGCTTTGTCAATGCTTACTTTAGTGGCTTTAGGAATGAGGAAGCATGACATTGTATAGATTGGTAGGGCATTCAACACTGAGTGGATAAGGACTTCTTTACCTGCAGGAGACAAGAACTTTGTTTTCCAGTTCAAAATTTTACTTTTAACAGATTTCTCCACATAGGCAAAAGTATCAATCTTGGATTTACCCAAACCCAATGGCAGTCCCAAATATTTGGAGGAAGAGTGCACAGAAATACCATTAAGGGTGCTGCAAATTTGGTTTTGAATGTGGGTGGGGATATTTTTGCTAAAGAAATGGAGGATTTGGAGAGGTTAACAAGTTGGCCTGTGAAAAGGAAGTATTTGTTAAGGATGTCAAGTATCAGGAGAGCTTGGTCATTTGATGCCTGTGAGAAAAGAAGGGTATCATCAGCAAAAAGGATATGGGTAAGATTAGGGCCATGTTTACTGATTTTCAGTCCTTTCCAGTTCCCATTAGCCACCTCAGCTTTAATCAGACTAGAAAAGATTTCTGAAATCAAAATGAAAATGTAGGGGGACAGTGGGTCCCCCTGTCTAATACCCCTGCTTGCTTTAATAAATCCTTTGGGAGCCCCATTAATATTAAAGGAGAAACAAGGAGAAGAAATACAAGCCATGATCCAATTAATAAAAGAAGAATGAAAACCTAATTTACACAGCATTTGACTAATACATGGCCATTCTACTCTATCAAAAGCTTTAGACATGTCTGATTTGATAGCCATATAAAAAGAATTGCCAGATCGATGCCTATTGAGAAAATGCAAGGATTCATGAGCAATAATAACATTATCCAAGATTTGCCTTTCTGGGATGAAGGCTGATTGGCTTTCACTAATACAAAGTGGCAGCCATTTTTTGAGTCTATTAGCAAGAATTTTTGAAATGGTTTTATAAAAGACACTACATAAACTAATAGGTCTATAATGAGAAACAAATTCAGGATTTTGGATTTTAGGAATCAAAGAGATAAGAGTATGATTAAGGCTCTTAAGGATTCTACCTGATTCAAAAAAGCTAGAAACTGAGCTACAAAAGTCAGGTTTAATAATATCCCAGAAGCTATGGAAAAAGGTAGAAGTCATACCATCGAGGCCTGGGGCTTTGTTGTTATCAATGCTGAAGAGAGATTCTTTAATTTCATCCTCATCCACTTTGGTTAATATCTCAGTGTTCATATCTTCAGTGATGACAGGTTGAATATTATTCAGCAGAATAGTACCTCCAGTGGAACCCTCAGAGGTAAACAGATGAGAGTAGAATTCTTCAATGCAGCCAGTGATCTCCTCAGAAGTTGTGCAGGGAGTCCCATCTTCTTTCAGAATCTTAGAGATATTATTGATTTTTCTTCTTTGAGCTGTGTGGGCATGGAAGTACTTGGAGTTCTTATCACCATTCTGGAGCCAACTGATTCTAGATCTTTGCCTCCAATATTGCTCCTCTTGGAAATTTTCTGAGTTCATTTCTCTTTTACATTCTTCCCATAAAAGCCAGTCTCTGTTATTTCCAAGAGCTCTTTGCTGTTCTAGGATTTTGGTGAGTTGCTGGACTCGCTTCTTTCTGTCAGAGGTGAAATCTTTACTCCACTTCAGGAGTTCCACTCTGGTGCTCTTGATTTTGGATTGGAGATTAAACATAGGTGTACCTTCTGAGGATGGAGTTTGAGACCAAGCTGCAGCAACAACATCATGAATTCCCGGTTTGGAGAGCCACCTCTTGTCAAAGAGAAATCTTTTTTTGGGAAGATTCCGAGCTGGCTGAGTTTTTAGAAGAAGAAGACTGTGGTCAGAGGATGATCTGAATATATTGTGCACCTGAGCTGAGGCATAATAGGTTGACCACTCCATTGAGGCAAATACCCTGTCAAGTCTTGCCTCCACATAGTCCTCCTCTGCTCTGCAATTTTCCCAGGTGTAAGGATATCCCAAAAGCCCTAAGTCCTGGCCTCCCAGGTTGTGAATGAATTCATTAAAGTTTCTGTATGATGAATCTGCTCTGATTATTCCCCCCCTCTTATCCTCTGCACCAGTTATCTCGTTCCAGTCTCCACCCACAAACCAAAAACTACCCCAATTCTGCTTTTCATGGAGAATAAAATCTCTCTGCTCAACTCTGGTGGCATAGTCTGTGCTGGCATAGATGAAAACACCCCGGCAGGAAGCTTGTAGATTAGGATCCCAGTATTGAACTTGAAAGCAAAATGAATTCTTGAGGATCTGAATGATCTTGATGGAAGAGTGCCAAAAAATGAGGAGACCTCCACTCTTGCCTCTGGGTTCAAAAGAAGACCAATTATCCCCTACTCCTATATTTCTACAAACAGTCTTGATAAAGTTATTTTTTTTTTTTTTTTATTTTTTTTTTTTTTTTTGGTTTCAGAAAGAAAGGTTAAAATTGGGGTGTGGAGTCTCAAACACTCCTTTAGTTGGGAGACTGTAGAGGGGCCACCGAACCCTCTACAGTTCCAAAATATAGTGCTCATTGATGGGGGTGGGGCCATTCTGGGCTGGCCTCCCTCACCACTGTCAAAGAAAGTTTTTGTTTTTTAGAGCATTTGGGAATGGGAATGGAAGAATCAGGAGGGGAGAGAGGGTTTTGATCAGGTGAGGAGGTGATAATTAGGTGTCTCTTACCTCTGGTGACTATTGGAGAGGTAGGAGGGATGGTGATATAATTCAGAGTGGCCTTGGAGTTGGGCTTTCTTCTCCATTTTCTAGCTTTAATAGAGGGGGAAGGTATAGGGATCAAATCAGCAGAGAGAGGGGTTGAAAGAGAGGGTTTAGCAGTGGGACAAAGAGTATCCACCATCATCAAGTGATCAGCTTGGGAGTTGATTGGGAGAATGGAGTGGACAGCAGGTGGTGAAGGAATGATAGGGGTTGAATGGTTAGGTTGAGGAGATGATGGTTTATGAGATGGCTGGTGGTCTGATTCAGATATTTGGGATGAGGCTTTCTCAGGAGGTGCAGGTTTAGAAGGAGAACCATTGCTGGGTTTAGGGGATTCAGAGTTGGAAGTATGAGATGAATTATGATGGAGGTGAGGGTAGTCCTGAGCTCTCAACCAATCACCAAAGAGCCCTTCCTTAACTGAGGCATTATTGATGTCTGCTGCTCTTTTATCACAATTTCTATCTTGGTGGCCTAGAAAGCCACAGTAGAAGCAAAGACTGACTAGCTTCTCATATTTAAAGTCAACCAGGATCTTCCTGTTCTGCATCATTAGAGAAGCACACCTTAATAGTGGTTGATTCAAATCAATAGTGACTAGCAGCCTAATGCATTTGCCTGCTAACCATCCACTCTGAGGGATAGAAACGTTCTTCACTAGCTTGAAGGCACTTCCAACCTTAGATCCCACCTCAGTAGAACACCAATCCAGGGGTAAATTCCACACTTGAACCCACAAATCAAGCTCTGAAAAAACTTTATGATCAGCGTGAAGATCCTCTTGCCAATCCTTGAGAATTAAGAATTGATTTTCAAATGTCCACCCTGTGCCCTTGCTTACTTTGACTTTGTCTTCCATATTGTGAAAAACAAATTGGAAGTAATTGGAGCTGATCTCACGAACCGTGACTTGGGATTTAAGCTACCATATTATCCCAACTGCCCTTCTAAGCCCCGGAAGTTGAGCTTTCTTTTGACCATGGATCTTCCCAAAGAGATTTCTTTTACAGACCTCTGCGCTGATATGAGTGTCTGATACATCTATGGCTATAGGCTGAGCTTCTTTCTCTGAGAGTTGAAAGGATGTAAGTTTGTGAACAACTTCGTCCTCCATTGCGCCTTGACTGAGATATTAACACGAATGGATCCGGGAGAAATTGCGAATCCTCAGCAGCCTGAAACAGAACCCTAGGAATCAGATGGGCGATAAAAAGGAGAAAAATAGAAGATTGAACTAAGAAGGAAGGAGAGAAAGATAATCCCAGAGAGAGGACTCTCTACTGAATAACGGCCATCAAAAGAGACACTCTATCAACTCCGGCGAGGCGGGTAATCGGGGCTCCCATTGCGAGAGGAATCGTTGAAACAAATTTTAGCCGCTTCTCTCATTTCAATTACCAGCATGCATTCGTCGTGCCACTTGAAGTTAGTTGTTCGGTGAAATCGTTCGATAGGATTTTCCTTTATTTATGTTAGCAAACATTAAAACAGAGATTCATATAATCAATATATTTGAGTGATTAGATTAACTGTTCATAAATAGGTAATGTAAAATATATGAATAATTCACCTCGGGCCACACGTATAACCAATAGAAGTTGTTCACCCTAACCTCGCCACTTTCCGAATGGAATTTTGAGCGCGTTCTCTGCAGAAACTTCCTGAAAATGTTGTAGTGGTTTCTTAGCCGCTGTATTTGTTCTCTAACAGCCCGATTTTCAACATATCTACCCAATAATTGTGACAGATCTCGCGCCAGTGGAGTCTATATTGAGTTGAACACCGAGGGCCTGTGAATTTCATTCAATGCGAGAGCCTTTTCAAAGAAGAGTTTGTAACACACCAACACGTCCTGCTCGCTCCATCCTGGTCCGCGAAATACTGCCGCCATTTGTTGTACATCGTCGTTGTTCGTCATGGCTGTATTAAAGCTACAAAATAATTGAATCAAAATTATTCGAGTCATTTAAAAAAAATGAGAAGATAAAAAAATAAACGGCTGTGCAGTACCTCTTTTGAAATAGGGTTTCCCAACTTCAAAATCGATTTCAGATTTAGTCCCTTTTAAATTCTTGTGTCAAAAGAAATTAAGAAAAAAAGGGTCCCTTTAATAAACCGAGTTGAACACGCAACCACCATCCTGATAATAATTAAATTTGGACAGCTGTGATACAAAATGACAGACATGATTTTTTTTTTCCCCAAAGGACAGACGTGATAAAGTGTGTAATTTCACAACTTTTTGTTAATTAAATTTTTTGGTCTGAGTGGATGTGGTTACATATATACAGATATATATAAATATATAAATTGATTTTTGATACCTAATCGATATCAAAACATACTCATCTTATAATTTAACATATTTAGCTTATAATACAACATATTCATCTTATAACATAACACTTATAACATAACATGTTCATCTTATAAGTTGACATGTTCATTTTACAAAGAAACATATTCATCATGTTAAGAAACATGTTACGTACAAGCATGTTACACGCGAACCGAAATTCTATACAGAGAGCGAGGCGAGAAGAGATTGAGAGCAAGAAGAGTTCGGAAAATTATTTTTTTTTAAAAAAAATCCCCGTTGAAATAATATGATCATATTATTATATGTAATAAAGAAAATTATATAAAAATTGTCATATTACATATATAAAAATTATATATTAAAAAAAAATCCCCATCGAAAAAAATAAAATTATATATAATTTTCAACTTTAGTTGTGAAGGCAACCTTTCATAATATTATATTTATATTGCAATTAGTTTGTACATACAACGTTAACAATTGTCATATTTATTCTTAATTATTCTAAGCAGTGTTTGTTTATATATATATTTTTCCGTAGAATTTATCAAGTGTAATGAGCGTGCAAACAGAATCACAAATTCGAAATTGATAAATTCAGAAAACATAAAATAAATTAACTGCAAACACAGCCATTACATAGAACAATAAAAACAAAATAAAAAACATAAACTAAGTCATAAAATCCTTTCTACCTGCATAAGGATGTAGATCGCCTTTAGCAGGAGCTGATTTTATGTTTCCTTTGTCATCAAAAATAAAAACATTGAAGATATGCAAACCAACATGATCGAACACAATGGTGTCTCCCTCGTTTACTCCATTACCAAGAAGGAATCTACCTCAACCCTCTTGGAAGATGGCGCTTCCGGCATTTAGACCGGCGACAACAATCCAAGTGTTCCCCTTGTCATTGTGCAGTCGAAGTTGTACAACCCCCATCATCCTAAGGTATGCAGCCATGGCAGGGGATAAAATCTGCAATAAAGATATGTCGGTGTAATATTTGATATGTTAACATGCTGCGAAATGGGAAAAAAATAAATTACCGTTATTGGGAATTTGTCGAACTCAACACGGATGATGAAAGATCTGTCCGCCATTTGCAAAATTGGATCCTTCTAAAAAATTGGATGAGTAAAATAATTGACGAGTTGTTCAAGTTTGTAATATTGAAAGGGTTTATCGGTTATTTGCCTTTAATTTATGACCGGCTCTTTATCTTCCAAATCGTAATTATTGCTTTGCACCGTGTATTAATGTATTAATCTAGGTGTGTGTAAAGAAAGTGAATTTTTTTTAAAAAAAAATAAGTGGTATGAAAATCTTTTGAAAATCTATTGCTTTTAAAAATGTCAGATGGATCATGACATTAATTGTCAAAATTTTTCGTTAGTTTCTAGGTGTAATCATTTATTTCTCGGTCATCGTTAAAAAAAACAATCGTCAACTTATGAACATTATTATTTCGATTTTTTTTTAAAACCAATGCTGATTTGTTTGCTCGAATTTAAAAATAATTTGATTATTTCTTAAAATATTACAATTATTTTTCTTAATCGGTATTAAATTTGAATAATATAATATGGTTACTTGTTTCTTCGGAATTTAAAATTAATGTCGTGTAAAAATGATTGGTTGATATATATTTAATAATTTTGATAATATTAAGGATAGTGTCAGCATAATTTATGTCAGTGATCCATGTTTGTACAGGTTTGTTTCACATCAATCTTTACTTTACTACAAACAACATCTACAATGGTACAGGGATTGATATATTCCATTTCCACTTAGAGCATCTCCAATGGTCCATGGATTGCTCCTTTTATTGCCATGTGGCATTATTATTCTTATATGGCATTCAAAATGTCTAGAAGTCTTTCTATGTCTAGAATTACTTATAGACATCCTCTATTAAATTTTTTATTATTTGTTAAATATATATGTCATTCCCAACCAATTATAATATTACACATGTCAAAGTATACTAAAATTGACATTCACCATTGGGGACAAAATTTTATAAATCTCCTTCTCCATGTTATTACACGTCTATGGCCTGGCACACCTTAATAGGTGCAAAAATTGAATTAAATAAAATAAAAGTGGAATCCGAAAATATTTGCTATCCTGAAATACATGGGCTTATTTTATGGTAAAAATTGAATTAAAAAAATAGTTAATACATTAAAATTTTAATTATCACTATTTATTTAGCGGCCATCTTGAAAATCAGTGACTCAAGTAAAGCGATAATATTTAAAATATCATGATATTTTTTAATTAATTATTTAATGACAAAGTTCAAGTATTTTAAGTCTTAATAATTAAAATATTACTCAGTTTGATCATGTTAAGAAACATATTCACCTTGTACAAAATCAACATATTCATCGTGTTAAGAAACATGTTCATCTCATAATTTAACATATTCAGTTGATAATAAAACTTACTCATTTTATAACATGACATCTTAATCTTATAATTTGACATGTTCATTTTTAAATGAAACATATTCATCATGTTAAGAAACATATGACGTAGAAACACATATGGTGCATCATGTACAAGTTTAATTACTCATGGCTCTTAACAAGTTTAAACTGCTTGCATTACCTTTCTGATAATATACAACTGTAATTTGTACATCATATTTTTTTTCAAGTAAGTTATTAAATGTAAAATGCAAGCAATAAAAATATAATGCAGCATCCGTAGCTAAACATAAACAGAAAACACTACATTCATTGGGTATTTTTAAACTAAATTACATTACATTAATAAAAAGAAATTAACCATAATCTATGTCATAAAATCGTTTTGACCATCATATGGTGGTAGATCTCCCAATTGAGGAGGGCATTTTAAGCCCCCTTGTTTATTAAAATATTTTAATTCAAACAGGTTAAGAGTAATATGTCTGAAAATAAGGGTGTCCTCTTCAAATATTTCATTATCATGAAGAAAGGTACGCCATCCTTTCTGGAACATGACATTGCCCAAACTCACACCGAGCCCTATAGTCCACTTATCCCAGTAGTCGCTGTACACACGGAGATCTGCAAACTTCATTCGCCGAATATNATTTTTTTTTATTATTTCTTTTGGTTTATTATATATTCTAAGGCTGAAAAAAAAAAGAAAAAACTAATCAAGTATGAATTTTAAATGATAGTACTTTATCGTGATTGGGTGCTCGAGTGAATCAATTCGGACCATGAACGAAGGATTCATCTGCAATTTTTTTGTTTTGGGGTAGGGGCGGTGGGTTGAAGGGTTGATTTTTTTTTAAGACCTCTTATAAGTTGAGGAGGCTGTGATTCATGAGGCACCCGCTTATCAGAGTAAATTTTTCGCTACATTTACTTCGAAAATATTTATAAATTTTTCGAAATCTTTTGCACTTAACTCGGGATGCTACTAAAACTTATCTTTTCTGAAAATCCATTTTTCTTTAAATTTGGTCTAATTGCTATTTTAGACATAAAGAAAATACATGACCATGTTCATACTGTTGAACTGTTTAAAATCTGTAAGTCTGAAATTATTTAACATGCAGGTTCGAAACTTGAAATGCGTAGCGGAAATCTGAAAAACGTAACATCATATTATACAAGCAGTATAAATAATTGTGCTCGTAAATAATAACAATTTGAATCCACGACCCCACCACCACTGCTCAGCTCACACCTCTGCACCGACCTTATGACCTGGAAATGATAATAGTGGGGCGTGAGTACTAATCCACCGTACTCCGTAAAAACCCATACTGAATATACAGCACATATAATCCAATATCATGAACTAAGTATATACATAAATAAAACTTTACTTTACTGATGCAACATCCGGGAACTGTCCAGATTATCATGTGATCACACTCTGGGGGTCGCCTCCCCAGAAACCCAGGATGGGAAAACCTTCCATACAAGACCGGGTGATCATAAATTCATCTTATCTGGACCACGAACGGAATAACTCGACCGTTCGGGTAAATATCTACATACATACCTCATACATGATAAAAGATTATAAGCAATGTAAGACCCAGGCTGGGTCCCCACCTGTTCTGCTTTAAAAAACTTTTGAAAATTGTAAATGCTGTGCTGGGTAGCTGTATCTGCAAGCTACATAAAAATATAAACAAATATACTAAGTACTATGCTCTTATACTCGATAGAATGCTAGGATGCTCAGCTCTATCAGATAACTTATCAGGATATAAGAAATACTTTAAAGATTCTCTAAAATAATACTAGGTCCGGAAATAAAACGGATATACTTAAACTGAACTGATTTGGCTCGCAAACTACATTAATTTTTCTTAAGCCACATATAACATTAAGTGACATATACGAAACTTAATCACAACTTTATGCCACTTTCTTAATACATAAGATATTTTAAAAATAATTTTCTAAGTTTTTAAAATATACTCATCTCGACTCACTAGCGAGTGACTAAGCTCGACCAGTTTATGATGCTTATAAAAACTAAATTTACTATTTTTATAAAACTTCATTTTTAAAGGTTAAAATACCTACTTAACCATCTCTTTATCAAAATTAACAAATACTCAACATATTCGATTATAACCCGTTTCTTAAATAATTTGAAAAAATTATCCCGACAATCATATATTCTATAAAATTTTCCAATACTAACCAATATTATACGATAATTCAATTTCATTACTAATAATTAAATTCTTATGAATTTAATTATTATCAAATCAATGAACCTTAAACATTTTTAAATAAAAATCTTAACAAACATCATACTCATGCTATCAAAATATCCGTATTTAAGTCTTATTTGCTCTAAAATTCAAAAATACTCCTAAGACATGAGCATGTATTGATTTAACCACATAATAATTTCTAATATAGCATATGATTACTTAAAAACTTAATAAACTTATTATAACCTTCAAAGACTGCTTGAAATCAGGTTGGTACATGCACACTAGGATAAGCAAGGTGAGGTTCGAACTAAACTCAACTTCAATATACATATATCTTAAAATCCGAATTTAACATTTAAATATTAAACTTCAGAAATAATCCTTTAAACGCATGTACAAGTAAATAAAGTCTCTATATAACTCTTAATATTTTCAAATGATATTTGGAAAAATAGGTTAGATTCGCCTACCTCAATCGAGATACTGAAAACCAACAAAAATCCTTTCTCGGCGATTTCCTGCGATACTCTTTCTCTCGGTTTTTCTTTAACTTATATTGAATAAACATCTCTCCACTCAATATTAATCTATAAATATGATCAAGGAAAGTGCAAGAAAAGAAATTTTCTTTTCTCTCTTAAGCTCTCTTCTTCTCGGTATTTATAGCCCATAAATTTAAAAGATGAATTTTTGATAGGTAATGGATTAATACAGAAAATCAAATTTCACCTCCCCAACTAGCTCTACGTTAATATATAAAAATCCACTAATACCATATGAAAAAACTTATATAGACAAGAGTTTAAAAGATGATGAAATATCATTAAGCTCAATAGGGACATTTGTCCACTTGATAGACTTTAGGGAAATTTTACTCGCTTACTCAACCTTATGTGTCCTTAGCTAACTAAATACTCCACCCCTTCAGAATATTTAACCACCAAAATGCTTATTATCTTGGTTTGACTTGTTCTACAAGAATTGGCTCAAACATAAAAGTGATGGTGCTAAAGAAAAAAAAAAAATACGGCAATTTGGACTTATGCTAAGGAAATAAAATAATATCATCCCTTGACCAATATTATGGTATTAATAAACCATTTTCTTAAGAGAAGTGAACTTATCATTTCATAAAAACATGTTTTCTTAATGCATGATTAAATATCAATTGATAATACTTAGTATGACTTATGCGTCCATCTCGTAGGATAACAACCATGAAATGATTGATTTATCAAAATAGAAATAACCCGAATAACAAAATTTAGCACTTGATCTTGATTATAAAAATTTTGGGCTCGACATTAATCGAACCGAACTTGTTCGGTTTCAATCACGACTTAACTTCGACGATTTCTCGAAATATTCTCGGATTCGATTATCTCGTTGACTTGAAATAATTAATCCCGACTAATAAAATCCGTTTATAAAATAAACGGTTCGGAATTAATTAAGGAATTAGCTCGATTACTGAATAGATTTAACCGAGAATACTCTCCATCTAAATTCAAACTTATAACTAAATAACTTAATAACTGGCTCGTAACTAGGAACGGCCATTATTAATAAAAGTAAATTAGTTCAAACTCGGAACTAAAAATATTTATTTTTATTAATAACTGAATGGGATGTTACAATGAAAATGTGGATTTGTTGGGGTGCAGTTATTTATTAATTCCTTTCATTTTGGATGAATAAATGTGATAGATGTCTTTCAAATCAAATGCTCATTCATTTTTCATTTTTTCTTTTTCCTTTTATCTTTTTCATCGTCCGAATTAATATTGTGCGCTTTTATATGTTCACACTTTGACAATTTTTGACATGTACGGTAGTAAATTTTATTTATTTTTGGGTATGTGTAATTAATTGTATATTTAACCTGACAATGTTATTTGTAAAATTACAAAATTATAAAGTTAATAACTTTAATATTGGATTTTAAATTACATCACTATTTCAAAAGTGGTTAATAAATATATTTTTAAATTAAATAACGATTTTAAATTTGTCACGACGTTGATATAATCCGATAGTACTTTGCCGTGTACGACTGTAGGAGCCAAAAAATATGAACGTCCCTAATGTATTAAACCCACTATTCAAACGTGATTCGTATTGTTCAAAATCCGACGGTATCTGTGTATCTGGCTATATTTTTCAGCTATTGGATGGATTATAATCATTATATGCTATTTAATCAAACATGATTCGTAAAGTTCAAATTCCGACTGTGTTTGTCTATCAAATTAACAATTTACTAGTATGACACCCGTGTACTACACGGGTTGTTTGAAAAAAATATATAAAACATAAAATAATAGAAAAAACACATGTTGTTGGATAACTATTTCAACACTTTAAAATATATTAGAAAGATCATGGAATATTCTATAACTATTTCAATGTATTTGTATAGATATTCTAAAAAAAATTAAATAATTTATTTACCATGGTGTTCATCAAAATTTATTTTATTTATATTAGAAAGATCATGTAATATCTATCACTATTTCAATGTATTTTTATAGATATTCTAAAAAGATTTTAATAATTTATTTGGATTGAAAAGATATAATATATATTTCAATGTATTTTTATAGATATTCTAAAAAGATTTTAATAATTTATTTGGATTGAAAAGATATAATATATAAGTGGCTATATATTTTTTGTTAAATTATAGTATTTTTTTAATTTAAACTATATAAAAAAGTTATTGTTTACATCAATTATATAAATAAAATAATATATAAAGCTAAATTTTTTATTTTGATTTGCACGACATATAAGATAAGAATCCTAAAATGTAATGTTGTCAAGTAAGCTTTATAAGATAAGAATCTTATTTAGTTTGGAGTTGGAGGATTTACACGGCATATAAAAATCCTATTTAATTGGGAGTTGGAGGGATCAGATTAAGCAAAATTTCTATTTATTAAGTGTTTTATTTTAAACAATTAGGGATGTATCCGAACCAAAAGCCGAAGCATGTAATGTTGCCAAGTAAGCTTCCGAAGCGTGCGAGGCAGCTATTTAGGCTCAACACGTTTTCAAATTATATTAAGAGGGGATAACATTACTACTGTACTAAAGCATTAGACCAAAGTACAACGTTCTATATTTTCCAACTATTGGTTGGATATGGTAATGAAGCCTGATTCGTAAAGTTCAAATTTCGACCGTATTCGTGTATGCCTATTAGTAAATTTCAAATATTTAATAATTTTATATGTCTATGTATAGTATATACATGTATAATATAATATATAAATATTATTATATGTCACAGCTTTGCATTACTTACACCCGAAACAACAACATATAATTGGTTGTTTCTAAAAATCGGTCTTCTTTTACGATTTGAACTACGTGTGATAAAAAATGTCTCCGACTCTTCTTTATAAATTGATATTTAATTGTATGAATAATCTCAAACTAAGTACTTATTTTCAATCAATATTAAACAAGTACAATACCCGTGTATAACACGGGTGTTGAATTAGAAAACTTTTTTAAAGAATATTAAATTTTTTATTTTATAAAAAAT